CACAAGTCTAAGTACAGACGGCCTGAACAGTGAAACTGCGAATGGCTCATTAAATCACTTCCTGTCTGCACTGTCTCTGCCAACTGTTTGCACTAGTTCACAGATAAAAACACAGTCGTGACTCGATAATCAGACACTAAATGTAAAACCTTCTTCTATGTCGGATTGTCAAGACGGAGGTCCAGATACAAGGAGGGCCTGATGCTGGAAGGCTCATTAGTTGTTAATTATTGTTCATAGTTGTTATAATAACTAGTAGGTCTGGTCCCAATAGAACTTTCTGCTCTCTGGATATTCAGGAGTAATTAATGATGAATATCAGAATATTCGGTGCGGTATGTTAAGGCTGTTTTTATGGATTCTGTTGGTTTTTCCTAAAAACCTGTCGGACATCAGGTTTAGGATTGTTAAGTGTCAGATTATCGAGTCATGACTGTACATCTAATGTCAGCTGGATCTCCTGTGAAGTCACTTTACAGGAACAAACACTGAATTCAGAGATGCATTAGAATCAGAGTCAAGTGTGAAACTAGTTCACTAGTTATTATTCATCTCTTTGGATGAACAGTCTTTTCCGGTCTAGACACATATTACATAACGCTGATAAAAACAGATCAAAGTGTCCTGCTGTTGCCATGCCGGAGATTTTTATTTATTTAATTTATTTGACTAAACTGAAATACTCTTTCACATTATTCCCAGCGGCATCTCTGCTTGTTCTTCTGATACCATGTTGATAAATGTTTTTAGCTGAGCTGCAGGAATCTGTGAACGTCTGCTAGTCAATAACACATGACCATTAAGTTTAGTATTTATTTATATCCACTCAAAATGGAATAAGAGCACTGTGGTGATCCGTTCCCTTTACATCTCCTGAGTTTAACATTTAACCTTGTCCAGTAGGTTGTTTTATTATATCCAGTCTGTCTCAGGAGGACTTTATTAGTGCAAAATTAGCAACCATGCTAACTCACAAGGTGAACATTTAGCCATTGTTAGCAATACTAGCTTGTTAGCATCTTGAAATTAGCATTTAGCTCAAGACATCAGGACACCAAAGTACAGAAGCATGACAGTAAAGTCTGTACACACTCAGATACCAGTTTATTAGCTCAGCTGCTACAGCTAGCCTAAACAATACATCATGACTGTAAATACAGTTAGCTTCAGTCAGTTTCTGTTGCACTAGCCTGCATTAGCTTCAGCTAGGTGTAGCTGGCAACAGAGCATATCATCAACAAAGAATAAAATATATTTTAGATTATAAAGAGAGTATATATTAAAACAGATAAAAGGGAAAACAAAACAAATATTTTAGAAAACACGTCATCAGCGGTGGTGGAAAGTAACGATGTACTTTTAGACTTTTAGTTTTATCTTTATACTTCTAGTTCAGAAAAAACTATCGTACTCTCGACTCCACTTCATTAATCTGACGGCTACTTCAGAAATTAAACCATTTGGAAAGCACATAAAATATGACGATACTGTTGGGCAGTAAATGCAAGATTTTCAGAATAAAAGGGAGATTTTTCAGATTGAAAGTCATCAGAATCAGAAATACTTTATTCATCCCTAAGGGGAAACTGCTCTGTCTGGCTCGTTTTGAGGGTTTCATCTTGCAGAAGAGTTACATGCATCATAAAGTGTAATCTAATTATAAAACACCATCTCTGAGACGGTCCATCGCCTCCTCTGCATCCGTCTCAGCTTTCACGAGCGTCACCGTCTCCCTCAATCACAATGATTGACGATCACGCCGTCGATCATCGCCATGTGTTTGTGAACCAGTTTCATCTCTTAGCCCATCCTCACTGTCTCCACCTCCGTCTCCTCCCTCCTCTCCATCCTGACATCCCGACCTCCCGACCCTGCCGTCCTCCTCCACCTCTCAGGCCGTTAACGGCCCCGGTAGCGGCTACGCCTACTCCCTCCCCTCCACCCCGGTGGTGCTTCACAGGGATCTCCGGGTGGCTCAGGGTGAGGCGGGAGGCAGCGCCAACCTGCGCACCCTGAAGGGCATCCCCAGACGGCCTTCGCTCTTCAAGGTCAGTGGTCGCCATCGAGTTCCCGTCATCTCACCGTCATTTCACCTCATCCGTCTCTCTGTGACACCCTGCTGAACTCCTCTGACTTCCTCTAAACGCCTCCCCGGTGTTCGGTCTGTTGCAGAACCGGGACCCGGACAAAAAGGCCGGCGATGCTAAAGGAGACCTGAGCGGCGTGCGGGGCGTCCCGATCAAACAGGTCTGATTACAAGCAAACAGAATATTCAGTAAAATGAAGTATTCACATGCTTCAGTTCCTCTGGTAGGTCGGAACAAAAGTGCACTTGTCTATTTATTTCGCCTTACATAAGCAGTGCAAAAAAAAATCTGTTGTTTCATCCTTTTTTAACCTTTCTCAAGGGTGTTCTATTAATACCAGCGCTCCCAGCTATTGGTGCCGAACTCTTTCTGTTGTGCCGCTGCACTTTTGAAGAGATTCTAGCGTCGACTCTAAATTTAGGCAGATTCATGGCGTCGTTTGTGACCTTGGTTTGTTGTGTTTTATTTCCACAGAGCATCCTGTGGAAGAGAAGTGGCAGCTCTCTGAATAAGGAGTGGAAGAAGAAATACGTCACCCTGTCCAACAATGGCACGCTGTCGTACCACTCCAGCTCCAGTGTAAGAAAGCGCCGCCGCGACGTCCATCGATTCAGCAGTAAAGCACAGCCAGGAGAGGAGAGGATATCTGCAGCTTTTCACATTTAACTACACTTTAAGCTGTAGTTCTTGCCTCGTTGACGGATTTAGTTGACTTTGTTCTGGATTTATTGCATCTCTAAGGCAGCAATAAATACACAAACCTTCAGATTGTGCTTCAGCTTAAAATCCTTTCAAAGTCGTAGTAGTTATCTGTTCTCACTTTTTAAACTTCCACATAATTTTCATGAATGTTGTCCTTTTTTGTGTTAGATTTGAGATGCATCCGATAACTACAGCCATACATATTATGTGAGAGGTTATGTTTGCCAAACAGGCCTTCAATAGCATTTCTCTACAGCGTTATAATGAAATCCTGGAGTTTAACAGTATATATATTTTTTGTTGTCATACTTATAGGCCAGGAGGAGCAGATGTTTTCAACCAGCTCATGATGCTAACGTTATCTTGAAGATAGCCTCTGTGGAGCTAATGTTAGCCTGATAAGCTAGCTACTAGCTACAGATTTTCATTGTCAAAAATTGTCACTGTTAGTTTTGAATAAGAAACCTTGTTTGTTTCAAATTAAGAAATGAATGAAAAGTTTTAGCTGCCACTTTTGTCACTGTAAACTACATTTTATGCTGCGTAAGAATTGACAGTTTTAGCGGTATAGCAACAAGCAGAGCTAACAGGATAATCTCAAATGTAGCTGGCTTTTAGCACAAATGTACAGGAGTGATAATTTCACTGAAATGGTTTACCAGGATTGCTTAAATGAAAGAGTGACGTTATTAATGTTTTAGTGCTGCTATGTCAGTAACACAGTCTAAAGTTTGCTAATATTAGCTACATTAGCCACCAGCTAATAAGACAGGGCAAGGTCAGGACGGCGCTAAGTGCTAAACCTATATTTTTATCAAAGATACAGTGAGAGATAAACTGACTGGGTAATGTGTCAGTAACGGCATTATTTATGTAAAGTTTGCTAACATTAGCTACATTAGCAACCAGCTAATAAAACAGGGCAAGGTCAGGATGGCGCTAAGTGCTAAACCTACATTTTTATCACAGATATAGTGAGGGATAAACTGACTGGGTATTGTGTCAGTAACACTATTATTTAAGTAAAATTTGCCAAAATTAGCCACCGACGAATGAAGCAGGAAAAAGGCGGGACAGTGCTACATCCAAAAACAAAATTTAGCACAAACTGACTCAGTGATATGTCATTAACACAGTAACACTGTCTGAAGTTTGCTAACATAAGCTAACATTAGCTAACATTAGCCACCAGCTATTAAAACAGGGCAAGGGCAGAACAATGCTAAATGCTAAAACTGAATAGTAGCAAAGATACAATGAGTGTGTTATGTGTCAGTAACACATTATTATCTGTGTAAAGTTTGCTAACATTATCCAACATTGTCCACTTGCTAAAAAGGAAGCTAAAGGCAGGACAACACCACATGCCAATACAAAGTTTCAGTAGAGATCCAGAGTGATAAACTCACTGAATGACTAACAGAAAATGTTGCTTTATTTTTCATAAATTCAGCTTTACATTCGCTGTAGGTAGAATGTGCTACGCCTCTCCAGGACAATCAATATCACTGGTAAACACTCATTTCTGTAATTTTTCAGGACTATACGCAGAATATCCACGGAAAGGAAATCGACCTGCTGCGCGTTACAGTTAAAGTTCCTGGGAAACGTCCTCCGAGGGCCGTCGCACCTGCGGGGCCCTCACCTGTCCCCCCCATCGCCACACCGAGAGTCAATGGGCTGAGCAAAGAGCCAGCCGCCGCTGACAACACCAGCACAGGTACTTTTTATTTTCTGTCATTAAAAAGAGGAACATTAGGCCGATTCTCATTAAGTTTTGAAGTTAAAAGAAGAAAAGCACAAACCATGACAACAACATCGGTGGGCGTATTTTAATTAAAATGAAAGAATGGTCGTAAAGGAATAAACACATTTAGCATATTATTCATCCTGCATGTACCCGTCTACGTCCACACCAGTGGCTCGTGTAGCTCTGTTGGATTAAAGTCTGTATGAAAATATGATCTACAGCGTATAAACCGGGCTCGTTTGTAAGCACCGTGGCCTCACACTTGTTCTTGGGATCTTCCTGTGTAGCGTGGGTTCTCACTGGGTTCTCCAGTGCTGAGGTTGACTGGTGATTTCTGTAGGCTCCAGCCCCCCACAACGCTAGTGAGGATTAGCTGGTGTACAGATAATGGATGCATGGATGGATTTCCAGTTATGGTGGGAAACTGTGAATTTACATTTTAGAGTTGGCAAAAACTCAAAACTCGTCTTCGCGGGTGTCGAATATCTGCGACTTTACGGTGAATTCTGGGAGTTTAGGGGACAGAATTTAAAAAAGCTCCTCCTGGATGGATGGATGGATGGATGTATATAAACCCTCGACTTTCGCCTTTACCCTCAGTTCCCCAGTTGTGTCCGGCCACCCTGTCCGTGGTCGATGACCGGTCTGGCGGTTTGTCTCCTCAAGGAGGCGAGAGAGGACTTCAGCGCTGCCCCTCCTCGCTGTCCACTAAAGCACAAAGTGTTGGTACGTATAGAATTGAATTCCTTTTTTAAAAAAAACCACCGTAACTCCCTTATGACTGCGTGCATCGTTTAATATTTTAAACTGTCAGATGCCCTCGAAGCGACGGCCAGTCCTTTCGCCGGAAAAGACTCCAGTCAGTCGTCCCCCATGAGCGACAGGAAGAAGAACCGGAGGAAGAAGAGCATGAATCAGAAAGGAGACGCAGCCGTCGGACAGGCCGAAGGTAACGCCGGTGTGGCTGAGGAAGCTGCTTTTGCATGAGTAAAAGTAGACGTTCTTTTGCAGTATAAATATATAAAGACACAGGAAGTAGTCAGAAATATGATGATTAAGCTTGAAATGGATGCACATGTAGGTATGTTTTGGGGCTTTCTGAAGAAGGAAGGCGCTCAGTTCCATGTATAAACGGCTTAAACCTCTGATATGCTCATAACATCAGGGTTGTTTCTGCTTCCTCTATGCACCAAATGTCTGTTATGCTTTAGTTTATTCTCAATTCTTCTGGCGATTTTCCTCAAAACCTCCAAAACTAATTGTCGAAGCAGGAGAAAGCCTGATTCTGACAGTTTCCTGTGTTCTCTCTTCCAACTGCGTCTCCTCTTTACCGACACAGAAGGTGTTTCTCTGGATATTCTGTGGAAGCTTTTCTCTCTCTTAACACTTGTCTCCTTGTGTTTCTCTTTTTTTTCCCTTTCTCCTCTGCTTATCTCTCGCTCTGCAGCCAAACGCAAAATGTGGAAATTAAAGAGCTTTGGTAGCTTGAGAAACATTAATAAGACAGGTAACGAGCGAGGCCGACGGGTTTACGTACGACGTGCATGCCTCCGTCTGGCTGTTTTGCTTTTCTGTGTGTCCCAAACTTATTATTTACATCCCAAAGTTGTTCATTCAGAGTAACGACCCAAAGATTTCTCTGTTCTCACCCTTCATCCGCCTGCTGTTTGGCTTGCATTTGTTTTTTTCCTTCACTGACTAAACGCTCCATCGATTAATCCGCCGTAAATGTGTTGCACGCAGATCTCACCCGAGTCTCTTCTGCTTCCTTTTGTCCCTGCAGAGGAAGAGAACGCAGACTTCATCATCGTGTCGTTTACGGGGCAGACGTGGCACTTCGAGGCCCCGAGTCTGGAGGAGAGAGACTCGTGGGTGTCGGCCATAGAGAGTCAGATCCTGGCCAGTCTGCAGTCCTGCGAGAGCGGCAGGAACAAGGTCAGAAAACGATTAAAAAAAACAGTGAAGGAATGTGAAAAAAGTCTAGAATTTACTTGTATAGGTGCGTCGTTTCTCTGAGTTTAAACAGAAGACTTGATGACAAAACTGTTCTCTGGTCCGACACCGTTTCTGTAAACATCTACCTGAAGGTCTGACTAACAGGAAGCAGAGAGCAGCGAGCAGGTTTTACTGTTGGACAAAAAGGAATTCTGTGAAGATGTCTGATAGGTGGTCGTCGCCAGCGTGCTTCATTATATTCACTAAATGAAAGGATGTTTGTAGTACGCAAACCAGGATGCACCTCTGACCCACAAACCTTTGCACGGTTCCGTCATCGTGCTGCACACCAGCATGAACAAGCTCTAGCTGTTAATAATGCACTATTACCCCTTTTCCACCAAACCGGTTCCAGTGCTGGTGCCTGACTTAGCACCAGTTCTTTGTGTTTCCACCGCCTAAGCACCGGCTCCAGGTTCTCAGAACTGGTGCTTTTCAGGCACCAACTCTTTGCTGGACCAGAGCTAAGAACCATCAGGGGCTGGAGGCGGGTTATCGTGACCACTGAGACCGATGGATGGAACACACAAGAGGTGATTTGTGTTGTTTTTCTCCAGAACGTCTCTGGTCAGATCACAGATGTGTTGGAATGAGTCCAGGGACACACCGAAGTTCTGCACAAACTGTTGAAATCTGGTCCAACTGTGTCCCACCAGCAGCACCACAGTGGTGGAAAACAGGACTGTTAGAACTTTGGTGTGCTGCAGTATTTACGCTTAGACATGAGGTCTTCTCATGAAAAACGGAGTTACATGCTGTTTATTCTGCTCATAGAAAAGACCACACGGGAAAAAATCCCTCTGTTTCATCTTGGACAGATCTGACATCAGACGTCCTGGTTTAGTCTTTTTAAAGTCATCTTTGGTCGCACATCGGTCTGAGCATCGCGGCACCACCAACAGCAGCTACCACAGCCTGCTATGTGGGGCGTTCAGGGAACATCGTAAACTGTAGAGTCTATGGATAAGAAAATGTTCAGCCAGTCGTATGTTTTGTCTGTGACCAGGTGGGAAGAGTGACCAAACGAGAAAGTTGGTCACACCACTAAAAAGTCAGTCTGGAGTCCTGTGTGGACTTCTGTGTGGCGTCAGCGTTGTTCGGTAAACGTATGCAGAACGTATGGCTCTAACTTGGCTCCTCGTTAATGGAAAAGGTTCTTAGACTGGAACCATCTAAGCACTGGAACTAGCGCCTGGTTCTTCTTGGTGGAAAAGGGGTAACAGAGATGACAGTCAATGTTTAAGGCACATGATTATGACCTTTATCTTAGTTGTGCTGCTTGAAAATCTGCAAATTTTATGAGAGAAACTGAAATGAAAGAGCTAAAGAATGCAGCTGTTGTTTGGACGACAGTGGAAACGTTTTCAGTTAAAATAGACTCTTAACCACATGTTACAACAATGGCGACATCGGCTGGGAAGATTAGTCAACAGGTTTAGGGTTTGTAGATGTGCCGTTCACTGAATTATCTAAGTGTATTATAACGTACACCAAAAATGAAAAAATTACTGACCTCAGTAGTAGTCCAGTATGTGGGTCAGATATGTTACATAATTCATCATCATATCTGTGAAATAAAAAGGAAAATAACTCTGAAAGATGACGCCATGCAACCACAACGTCAGTAACAGGAACCACTTATCAAGAGCATCACAAGTTCCTCAAACTCTAGTGACGTGAAATTAGGTCAACAGCAACATGATGCTGCTGGATTACTTCAGCTGTGTTCACCATCCAGTTTTATTTCACCGTCACTGATGTAATCGGTTCCACAAAAGGCCTAAAAACAGGAGTCGAGGGTCCAAGACGATAAAAACATACACAAAATCCGCTGTCAGTTCTCGACTTGTACAGCTACAGAAATTAAACGATAGAACAACATGTTAGAACCGGGAAAGTTAAACTTATAAGTGAAATTATGTACATTAGAAAACACACAGATAACAGCAGCACTGACCTCGCCCACAGAATACGTGAACAAAAGGGGAGCAGTAAGGCGGGAAAAACCCATTTATAGGACATGGTGGGCGACCAAAGGGTACGTGGGGTACTGGGACCCCCAAGTGAAGGTTCCACACTGTAACCGAAAGGCAGACCAGAAGTAATAACAGTAAATTAAAATATATGTACGGTACATTATGTGTAACTCATAAAACAATATATTTAATATAAAACTGCTGCTGCACCACTGACCCTGTTAAACAAACGTGTTTTCAGCCTTTGGATTCTTTCTCTCTTGTTTGATTATTCCTGAGATATCGGATCAGTTTATTGAAATTAAACCATTTGAGAAGTTTAAAAAAAACACAACTGTATTTGGTAAATCTGTTAACAACAACTCATAGACATCAGAAATGTGACCTCGACTAAAAAAACCAAAACAAAAAAGGTTGGAAAAACTGGTTTAATCCTTAACAGTGTGTTCTACTTTAAAAGCTTGTTGTAAAAAATCATATTCTTAAATAAAGTTGTCAGATAAAGCACCACTTCATTATGCAGACAGATAATTATTGCATTCTAATTGTTGATGCGTTAATGTGTTGAAGCTGGTGTATTTGCTGGGTAGCCTCAAAACCAATAATCTAATCTATAATTATATCTAATATTATTACATCATAATTCATATTTTAATTATATTGTTTTATTAACCTAAATGAAATGAAAAAATGAAATGAAAAATACTTTATTTATCCCTGAAGGGAAATTCAATAAATTTGATCAATCTAAATCTGCAAAGCAACTTCTAACAATCAAATAAATGTAGTGGAGTAGAAAGTAGGAGTATTTCCCCCTGAAATGCTCAGTAGAAGCATAAACTAGCATAAAATGACAACACTCGAGTACTTCAAAATTGAACTTGAACGTAGCGCTTGAGTAAATATATATCATGTATAATCCACAGACACTTTTCAAGGGCACTATTTAATGAATAAATTCACATAATCAGAATTCAGGGACTAAATTAAAATTGTCCTATATAGTAAACAGGGATTTCACACACAGCAGGAGCTAATTAGCATGCTAATTTGTAAATTAGCATACCGCTAGCAAGTTTTTTTTAGGTCACAGAGCCTTTTTTTTTTTTTGTTGTCCTCAATAAAACTCGTTGTCGAGTGAAATGAGTCCTGAGAACATTTGCCAGAGGCATTTTTATTTTTCTTAAAGAAGAAGCTGAGAAAGATGTTTTAATGAGTAGCGTTAGCATTGGTTTGTTAGCAGATAGCTTCCCTGCTAGCTAGCCTTACAGTTTCACTACTCATTTAGTCATTAATGAATCTTTAATGTTAAAAAGACTTAAAATTGAAACCAGGTTTTTTATACCTTTAAAAACAGTCTGTAGATAATCCAACTCTGTTTTTTGAATCCATAATCTACACACAATGCAGTATCACGTGTATAATTAATCAATAAATCATTAGATTAATCAATCAATGATTTACAGATAAAAGGACTAAAAATGCAATAAAACAATACAAACAATATGAGAAAACAATGAGGAAACACATGATGAAAAAAAAATCTGTAAAACATAAACTATGTTATCTTGAAATAAAAGAAAATATCTGTAAATAAAAATATAGATAGATAGGTAAAGGACAAAATAGTTAAGTTAAAATTCATAAAAATTTAATAAAATATTTTTAAATAAATGTACAATAATGAATGAATAGACTAAAGAGAGGAATAAATTAACAAAACAATCAATAATAGTTCTAATAAATGAAATCCATTAAAGCAATCACAAGCCTGACTAATAAGGTAGGTCTGCCTTTAAAAACACTCTCTAATCAATCAGTACTAATCAATACGAGTTACTTCACTCTGCACACAGAGGCAGACGTGGATTATATAAAACTTTAAATACAACCTGTCTGTCATGTGTATATTTTAGGTTTTTAAGGTATTGTTGCCATCAGTGTATTTTTTTTTGTTACTTGTTTTATTTTTTTATTCTTATTTACTTTTAGGTTTTTGTCCAGTTGTTTTGTTATAAGACGTTGTATTAGCATCATATTATCTTGTCTGATGTATAATTATTTGACTTTGTGGGATAAAAATAAATATAAATGAATACATCTGTAAGTATAAGAAATCCTTCCAGCTGTGGTTAAACACCAGTTACAGGTGATTCTGATTGAAATTTGGTTATAAATATAATTAAACACTTAAAAATGTTGTTATAAGTATGAATAACGAACCATTTACTTTTAAGTGTTACTTAAAGAGAAGTTGTTGGTGCTCATCGAGGTGGATTTTAAGCACCAGGAGTGTGGACGTAAATAAATAAATGATGTTGTGTGTGTTTGTTCAGGCACGAAGGAGCAGCCAGAGTGAAGCTGTAGCGCTGCAGGCCATCAGAAACGCCAAAGGCAACGGCCTGTGTGTGGACTGCGAAGCGCCGAGTGAGTTCCCAAACATCACCGTGTTCCCCTCCAGCTGAGGGCCGCCAGACGGAGTGAAATCAGTGGGTTAGCGGCTAGAAAGTCAGAGTTCTAGATCTCCATGGCAACTGATGCTGTGGAGCTAGATCTCCATGGCAACTGATGCTGTGGA